GTACTTTTTTACATTCTAAAGCGAAAAATTATTATAAAATAGCCCGTCAAAGGCGTTGTTCTGATGTGATATAATTTGATATTGATGCTGTACTGCGATGATCATTCTCTGATATATGAATAATTACATTCATACGGTCAAGAAACTCCGCTTATAATGATATACCGATAATTTAAACTCAAACTTATCTCATTGGTCTTACTATTCTAGGAGTTCATGAAGCAAATGAGTTAAAAATGAAGGAATCATCTGTTTCAATTACATTCCTTCAAAGGACTTTTGTATCAAGAAGGTCGATAGTATTGTAAAATTATTTTTTACAGCGGAAAGAGATGTAGTGGATATCCTCGTCATTTAGTTAAAATTTCTTAAATCAGCTTTATTTGACAAAACTCTGCAGGCAAAATTTCCTTTTCACATTGAAATATAACCAGGTTATAATCTCCTTAAATTCACCTTTATTAAGGTAGTCCGATCCTCAGGTTTATAAAATTAGGAGTTAAGTAATCAAAAATACTTATAAAAGTATCTCTGAATTCACAAAGTTATGTAAAGTAATCCACAGTTTTTCTTTAAACTTAGTAATTAAAGTTAATTATATTATATAGGGAAAATTGTCAAATCTCAAATATTTTTGCAGAAAAAGCGAATTGGAATAACAGCAATGCATTTTCTAATTGCAAATTGATCAACAAATATATTTTAAATTTAAAAATGATAGGTAGCCAGACATTTAGAGAAATTGCTTTTATATCAATGCTTATTTGGTATATTTTGTCTTCTATTTCCGTCATGTATTCTATAATACATAGTGTAAAGGCTTTTGCTATCATTGCAAGACACCGCAAGATACTTCTTATTTCACATCATGCTAACAAGCATTGGTATCTCAGGATGGATTCAAGAAAATCTTATTTCTCTAAACTGTTTTGATTTTTCTTCCTTTTTTGGGGTACAAACGTCAACTTTTATAAGAACTTTTCTAAGATCTCCAAAAATTTTTATTCTTATAAGGATGACTAAAATGAAATTTTTTGCATGAAAAAAATTCATTTTCAGCTTCATTTTGATGCATTTCAAATAAAATATTGATTTTTGGAGTTATCCTTCCTGGCTGAGAATCGGATATCCTTAAGGGAAGATTTTACATTCATTTAAATTTTTCAATCAATATCCTGATATAGTCTTAAATTGTATACTATATCGTCCAACGAATAAACTGCAATATAAACTTTTACTTTGGCCATATCTTTTGAACAGCACATACCAGGAAATTTATCCTTCAAATATGTATTCCTTGTTGCAAGACATTTCATTTTGTTCCAACAATTTTGACCTTTTGACCTTGGAGATTTATATACTTAGAAAAACATTTGCCAAAAAAATTGAACGGTAAATGCTAGGGTTTCATACTTCAAATATGTAAATCTTGTGATGACACTTCATAAGACACCATGAACTTTGATCCGTTAACCTTGACCTTGATGTTTCACCTACTTTTAAAGTACAACCTTGACCAGATGTTTCGAAGGATTAGAACTAGTGCTTTTATAGTCTAGGGCTTTCATGCTTCACATATTTAATCCCTGTGCCAATTCCTTTCATTTGATATCTAGAACTTTGACCTTTTGACCTGGACGTTGGAGATTGACCCATTTTTACACAAAAAATCAGAACTTTTACTTTGGCCCTAATTTTTGAACGGTAGAAACTAAGAATTTCATATTTCAAATATCAATTCTTTGTGACAAAACCGTTCATTTGAAACAAACGATTTTGACCTTTAGACCTTGACCTTGGAGATTTCCATACTTACGAAAAAACTTTAACCTTGGCCACAATTTCTAAACGGTAATGACTAGGGCTTTCAAACTTCATATATTTAATCCTTGTGAGAAGACCTTTCATTGGATATCAACAACTTGACCCTTTCATCTTGGAATATGATCTACTTTTTAAAAAATTAAACCTTTGCCATAACTTTTGAACGGTAAGGACCATGGCTTTTATACTTCCCATATATAATTCTTAAGTCAATGCCTTTTTTTTTTTTTAGAAACCAACAACCTTGACCCTTTAATCTTGACCACGGAGTTTGTCCTATCTTTAAAAACGTAAACCTTGGTCATAACCTTTGAATAGATGGTGCTAGGGTTATCCATTTCACATTTGTATTTGTTGTGAAAAGGCTTTAATTTAGGTTCCAACATATTTGATCTGCATTTGAGAAAGCTTAAGCTTCGTTATGTTACCATACAGGGATATCAGTGTTTCAAAAACACATTTTGTTTTAAATATCATCAAAGGCATCAAAATTAATTTTTGTTAGTAGTGTAATAAATGAACTGCATTTTTAACAGATGCTGAAACGACATCCAGAGTGAAATTTCATCAAATCTTGTTTGTTTTTTTTTTTCATGGTTACGAAAGATTTTGTTTTAGAAGGATAAATCTTTGGACTGTAACATATTCAAAATACATGTAGCGATTTTATTTCAAGATTCTGATATGGTAAAGTAACATATGTACGATAAAAGATTTGGTAAATTAAACTGAGGTTAAAATGTTTATTTAAGGAATCACTATCTGGTTAGGAGACTATGACAAGGACATCAACAATAGTGGGAAACATGGGATAATTTCAGCATAACAGGCGAATCTTTATATCTCCATTTTCCTTGAAATAATAATCTTAAAATAAATCTAAATACCATCTAATTAAATAGATTTGAAATGCACAAGGCCCCATGACGTCAAAATTGCTATAAAAAATAGTCCCATAAAACACAAAAAATGATTGACTATTTAGTTATTGTAGTCAAATATCAACATTTATAAAGTAAACAACAAAATAATTTGAAGGTATGATAAAAGTAATCTTGAACTTTAAATATAAATGTGACCTAGGCTAAGGTTGTCGGAAGCACGAAGACGTGTATAGCCCCTAGGTCAATTCTCCGCTGCCATATTGGATATAATGTTACAGCTGGTGAAACGGAGGTTTGGCAGCATGGTCAGGAAACATATTTGTGTGGATGTTAAAATAACAGAGGAAGTTGAGTTGCTTAAGAAGTCCGATGGTTATAACTGAGGGACAATGCATGTGTCAAATGATGGAGTGCAGATCTATGTGGCAATTCCGATTTCTCCACGTTGTTCAGATGGGCTGTTTACCATGTTTACAGAAGTGGAGTTTTTGCCCTCGCGATGCCTCCGTGATAGTGGACAGGGTTCGCAGGTAGGTTAAGGTTACAACCAAATATTCAACTTGCCTATATGATACATGTATGACGTCATAGTAAGCTATATGACGTGAGGTTTAGAGATAATAATTTCTTAAAATCGATATCTAAGATTGATTTGAAGTCGTAAAAATGAATCAAAATATGCAGAGGCATAGTGTAAAAAGAATTTTGTCGTTCCTGGGCCTCTGTAGTTATCACAAGGGTTACATACCAAACGCATTACGTCATAACTGTTGATCAGGCAAAAGCAGAGTGAAACTGAATCATAACGAGAAATGATGTAAACAAACACTAGAAATTGGAGATTAAAAGCATTTAAAATGAATATCATGTGTGATTCTTGTGGGAATAAACCGTATGAATAAGGTATGGTAATATAATTTTGCAATTTCCTCGTAGAATTATTGCAGGGAAGGTGTTTACTTGCCGATCAGCCTTTCCTCTGTCGTTCATAATAAATAAGATGCTAAAGTTCAACACTACGCCGCATACCTTGAAACTTAATTTTTGTTTCTATCTAAAGTTCTTATTCTTTAGTTTTTGGAAAGTGTTGTTAGAATCGTATGGTTTACGGGAATCGATGCTTTTTTTCAATGTTATGAACAAAATGTAAAAATTTGAGAAGGTTTCGTTCAAAATTGTTGAATAATTATTTCTATAATAGGACAATACGATTCTAGCAGCACTTTTCATGGTACAGAGATGTTTTTACATAACTATTATTACAAATTGGAACTAATTATCCCCGGGGTAGTGTTAAACTTTTCACTTTTTCATTAAGGCATATTTTCTAATTATAGACGTCACGTGATGAGGTCGTGGTGAAGTGCCTCCTGTAGTATAAGTACCATTGAAGTCTCTAGAATGCATAATTATAGCAAAAGTTTTATCCTTGACTTTTCCGATTTATTAGTGTTACATAATTATAAAAAAAAGTGTGAATTCGCCGAATTCTGATCCATGTGCTGCCTTAACATACCTGCGTTGCGCTTGTGACTTGCTTTTGATCCGAAGATGATTCATTATTTATCTTGTTTATTAAAAGATATATCATATTTCATTACTTGATAAACAATTCAACAAAATATTTTTTTTCTTCGTGTATTTATATGCCAGTGATATATATACATGCAGATTGACATTTGACCTTTCTGTAGTATTTCAGTACTGTTGGACGTGGAGACCTCTCCATTAGATTAGACTGTAAAACCGAGGTCCCGTGTCGCAGAAGGTGCTGGTACGAAATAGATCTCTCCCTGCTCAATGACCCTGATTGCCAAGTACAGGACGACATTTACAGCCCTCAATCGCTCGCCAAGTGTTGGCGACTCCATACACAGTATGAGTGAAAAATTCTCACGAGGGACAAAAAACAATAAACAATCGATCAAATTTAAATATTTTGCACTTCCAAATAATATCCATAGATTCCATAATAAATCTAAGACTTTTTTTTGCATCGTAGTACCATATCCTGTGTACATTCAAGCATAATATTTTTGTCTTTATCTTATTAAAAAATATAAAATGCACTTAAATATGATAAATAAGTATTTGCTGAAAATTAAATGTGTTTTCCTCAACAAGCATTAATCAACAGCACATTAATTTTTTATGGCATGATTTATTAAGCTCATAAAACAACCACAAAACGAATTTTTTTATCAACATTTTTTTAAGAATTAAAAATTATTAAAAATCAAAAAAAAAGAAAAGAAAAAAAACTTATTTTCTCTTAAACAGATTGTCGGGAAATTGGAAAGACTTCTGATAGTGAAGATAAAAAAAATATAAATTTACAACAGGAAATTGAAATACAATAAAGTCTGTAGATGTAGAAAAATCCTTAGTATCAAAGTTCTTTTTGACAGTTATTTTTTCCTGTAACATATAACATCGAAAATCTAGTAAGTGTCCCCAAACATCATCATACCCAAAGTATTCAGTATTGGCGACTGAACAGATAGAAATGCAAAAATCGAAGCCTTTTTTGTTTGTCACGTCATGATTAGGATATCGCTCGCAGTTATCTATATATGCTTTTCTCATGACTAATTTTTATCTCAAAAATGTTTGTAAGACTCTCTTCAGTGTACAGACTTTACAAAATAAGAAGTAAAATTTAAAAAAAAAACAATAAACGTCCAAAGTTAGAGGATGTGGAGGACCCTTTAACATGTACATAATTATGGCATATTATATTTCAAAGCAAAATATTAGAAAGTATAAACTTATTATTCCCTTTAAATTCATTTTGGTATGAAGACATAGTAATATACAAATGATCATATAAGATACACTGTAATACATGTATATACCTGTAAGAGCTACACGAAAATTGTATTATTTTTACATTGTTTTTATACTAGTTTTCAAAGTATGTGGTCTACAAAAGTTATAGTATTCAGTTTTGTTAGAATAATGACAAACAATTCAATTATGATACTAATTAAATCGGATTTATCGTAATCGGTGTCTGTTTAAAAACAAGTTCGCACAAAAATAAGATGGAGGCAAAGTACACAAATATATATGAAGCGGTACCTGTCTCATGTCTGTTGCTCACCAGAACCCTGACAAATATTTGGTATCAATTTTGTGAAATGATTCCAATTGATGACGAGGACATATCATGCTTTCTCCATGTCCATGTATCTCGCTTTCGGCAATAAAAATTTTCTCAACGTCTTCCCCAACAACCTGTTTCCTTTCTTCTGTGCATGTAAATCCCGTCTTAAACTGAAGATGCTTGTGAAAAGTGCTGGTAATGTCTTTCATCATTTCATCTACGTTTCTTCTCACAAGAACACAGACTTTCTTTGCAATTTGCTTTTCTTTTTCCGGATTAAATATTTGAAGTTGAATAGAAGTTGTTGTCACGGCAAGGCAAATGTAGTGATCTTCGTAAGCAAACATTGCAGCTTTTTTATACAAACACGATATCCGATTGTTCTCTAAAACTTTCCATTCTGGTAATTGCATACAAAAAACCACCAGCCGATAGAATAGAAAGTAAGGCAAAAATTCAAAGAGATAAACCAAAACTGAAGTTTTTGGTAAGTTTTGAATAATCTGTTTTTGTGGTGAGGCAAATTCTTTTTTGTTCATGCATGGGACATAATGAACATCTTCACCCACCGCTAAAAAACCCAACCTCTGCATGTACAGCAATAATTTTCTTTTGTGAAGAATCGATTTCCCAGACTCCTTTTCAGATGAACCATTGTTCAACTTCCAAATTTCATCAAGCAGGGTGTCTTTTAAATTCCCAGTTTCATAATATTCATTCCAATCTCTATTTGTGGCAAGTATTCCTTTCACATGTAACTTGTCTGTAATGATGGATTTGAATGTATCGATAAACCACTGAATATCGATAATTACCAAATCTTTTAACCCATCCTCATTGAAAAATAGACATTTCCCAACCTCGTGATAATATTTTAACATATCACGAACACTCTGTCCTTTCTTCTCTTTTTGTACGGGCATCATGTTTTCTATTTCTTTGAATGGCAAAAAAAGACGAATGCCTCTTTTCTTATTAATTTCGTCATTTAAGAAAATCCATTCATGGGGAATATTCTCGCTCCATTTCGATAAGACAGTGATATTTACAATGCACCTCTCAAGTTCCTTTAAAGGAGTTAACGGAAATTGTGCAAGAAAACATCGATCTTTCCTAATGTATTGCGCTAGCTTCGATTGGTCTGGTAATGATTTGTGAAGTGAATCCAGGAATTCTTGACTGTTCTGCAAAATGTTATCATTAAAATACATTTTTTAAGCATATTATTATCTTCTGATATATAGCGGGCATTGAAGTGCAGCTCGGTTAAGATTTCATGATTGATGTTTAATGAATAATCAGTATTTCAGATTATCTTAAAGCTACAATCAGATTTAATGTCTTCAAAATATATTGAAACAAGAAGAAGCCCATGGACCACATCGCTCAGCTGAGCACATGGGCTAACACAAATCAGCTCAGTATTGAAAAGTTTACTTGTTGGGGGAGGGGGGATTAATTTTTTTTTTTTTTACTTGAGAATGTCACTATATCAATAAAGCATACATGTATAATCTCGCTATATTTGAAAAGACGAGTTTTACAGATTTTTCCTATATATCTATGATGGCCGATTATGGCCCCGCCTGACCCCTTATAGCTACAGGTCATGATATGAACAAAATTGAATTAACTCTAACTGAAGACATTTAAAACTAGGTCCAGTGTCACGGTAGGTGCTTTCACGATAAAGAACTCTCACTGCTCAATGGCCCTAAGTGCCGAGTATAGGTCTAAATTTGAAGCCCTTTATTCACGGCAAACGGTGACGTCTCCATATGAGTGAAAAATTCTCGAGAGGGACAATAAACACTATACGTACAATCAACAATATACAATCACTATATGACTCCAAATTTAAAGCAAGCTACAGGGACATTTATATGATCTACTATCATCACGTCACCTTACCTCACCTTACCTCGGGTCATTATTTAACCAAACATAAATCTTATTTAAATGGACATGCTTCTTTTTATAGATTTCGCTTATTGTCTAGAACAATATTTGATCTTAAACATTCAAGAATGTCTAAAATATATTTGTGTTTGATTTCCTGATCCCATGGCCCCCAAAGACAATTTTAAACCCCCCAAGTATATCTGATCAGTTATATTTGCTTTCCATAAACAGGTACCATATTTTATGGAAAGCGACAAAAATATACATGTACGCTGTTATACATATACTGAAAGGAAAAAGAAACGCAGGGTAAACTTTTGAGCTGAAAAAATTATTACACAATGAAGGTACTAATTGGACACATAATCTAACATTAGCATGAGAAAATAGGCATCAGCATCTAGGTGCCATCAGGATTAGCGTTAAACAAAAACCCTATAAGGATCAGCATCAGCAAGCAAAGGATAGAACAAGCATAACTAGCATTGACATACTTAAAATAAGCATCGGACTACTACCATCAGAAAATCAGTGAATTTTATTAAGTAAAAGAAATCAGTGAGAAACAGGGAAGAAAACTGATTTAATAATTCAAATTATTTATATGTAATGAATAAAATTTTAAACAAAATAAAACATATTTATTGCTCTAAACTGCAATGTTTTCCCACTCCCAATAGCATAATGTATAATGCTAAGTAAAGCCATTCGTCTTCTCCGTACGAGTGAAAAACTCTCAAACGGGGCGTAAAAACAACATTCAATCAATCAATGAATCAATCTTAATCAGACCATTAGAATGCAGCACCAACTAAATGTCAAATCTTTATTCAATACCGAAAGTAACCACTAAAACTAAATTTTTGCAGAAGCTTTCTTTCTCTCATTTCTATCATCTTTTCATGTAAAACATATTATTTTTACGAAAGCCCAGAAGGCTTATTCGAGATTCAAGTTTCGAAATACGAGATTCGAAATTCAAGATCCAAACTAACCAATCAAAAGCTGGTTCAACCTTTGATTAGTCCCCTTTGTTATGTTTTTACTATCAAGAAATCGTTGAATATATTTATAACAAATGGATCATTTGGTAAAATAATAATGCAAGAAAAAATGTTTTATGTATTAAAACAAATTAAAAATAAAATTTGAATTACATTTTGAAAAAAATATAAAAAATTATTTTTCTAATTAAACAGAGCAGGAAATACTTATGATATAGAATATTATAATGTCTTTTTGTCGACTTCTTTTTTCTTATTAAGTTTTTATTAGATCACTGATAAGGGAGAAAATTATTATTTATTTTATATGAAGAATTAAGAATCGTCTCTACACTGCACAGTTATTCAAGGGCATATATTTCATTACATTTATATAGGGTACATTAGTGCAGTGAGACTTGACTGCTAAATCGAACCGCATCGTTATAAGGTTTTACTAGTATCATTTAGTCTTTGACCATAACACTATGGTCAAAGACTAAATTATAAAACCATAAATCTTTAGTTCTCTACTATTTGATATCAAATATATGTTTTGTGCATATCATTTCTTATTAATTCAAAAAATCAAAACCTTAGACCAACATAAATAATTGAAAACATATTCCTCCATTAGGAAAACAAACGCGATTTTTGTTTATCAATAGCATGTTGCCTTTCAAGTTTTTCAAGTAACATTTTCATTGTGTTTGGAAAAATGGACAGGGGGGTGAGTAGGGGTCGGGGTATTGTTAATCTTTAGACACTTAACATTTATTTATAAGTTTATTATTATGTCATCAACCCTGTAAACCCTGTAAACAAAGTAGACAATACAAAAATATAGATACTCCTGATATATGTAATCTGTTTAATATTTACGAAGCTATAATATAAATTGAAGTATATCTTGCTGATCAAAAATCCAATAATTATTCAAATTTCCTTCTAATATATATAACACTCTTTCTTGCATTGTAATAATATCAAATGACCCATTTGTTACATGTATAAATATATCAAACGATTTCTTGATAGTAAAAATATGATAAGAGAGAGTAATCAAATGTTGAACCCGCTTTTGATTGGTTAGTCTAGATCTGAATCTCGAAACTCGAATTCCGATTCTCGTATTTCAAAACTTGAATCTCGAAAGAGCTTTCCGGGCTTTCGTATTTTTTGCAAGCTCTTTAAGCATTTAATGTTATGGAATTACCTTGTACACTGCATTTTCCCAATGGGTTGCCACCAGGAGAATCTCAGCTTTACCAGTTAATCCTTCTGTCACATTGCAGCAGTATGTATGAATAGATTTCAGCCAGAATAAGAAATATTCTGAAAAAAATGCCCTAGGTAGGTGAAGCAATGTAATCATAAAAGAAGTTCATTGAAAATGTAATTAAAAATATTTTGACCAAGAAATGGCAAAATAAATGTTTAAGAAATAAAAAAAAATGTCCATAGCTTTTTGAATCATAGATTTTGTCAATGTCTTTACCTTTGTATGTCCACCCAGAAAATGCTGTGTCTGCCTGGTCACAAACAGCATTGTCTACGACCTGATCAAGGCGTTTAGAGGCGTCCATTACCAAAATATAGAAAGCTCTCCTGGTCAGGTAAATCTGATGACAAGCGTAGTAAGCACACTGCCCTCCAAAGTCAAAGAACGTTAATGTCTTCTCAAAAGTGTCGGCATCATTTTCTGTTCTATCTTTACTTTTGATTGCACTTTTAGCTGATCAAGATAGAATAAATGTAAACATCACTTTTTATACGTAATACTTTTTTTTGTGTATCTATGCGAGAAAGTTTGGCCGCGAAAATTTCATTTTCGCGTATACATAAAAACATTTGTTAACATTACATAGATCAATATCCACAATTCGTGAAATACTTGTCTCGGTATTAATGAGTAAATGACTATCTTGCTACAATTAAATGTCGCAAAATGATTAAATCTATAGTATATCTATTACTCAGTTAGAAGATTTCTTTTAAAAGAACGTAAATGTTTGTCACGAAAACACACAGATACAAAATCTCTTCCGGAAAGCTTCAGATCAGAAGAGCTTAATTTCATCCTTGAATAATTTTCCCCCAATTTATGTCAATGTGTTTAGTCGATTTTTCTTTGCTATATTGATTGATTGTATACTGTTTAACGTCCCTCTCCAGAATATTTCACTGATATGGAGACGTCACCATTGCCGGTGAAGGGCTGCAAATTTGGGCCTATGCTCGGCACTCAGGGCCTTTGAGCAGGGAGGGATCTTTATCGTGCCACACCTGCTGTGACACGGGGCCTCGGTTTATACGGTCTCATCGGTAGGACCGCCCCATTTAGTCGCCTTTTACGACAAGCAAGGGGGTACTGAGGACCTATTCTAACCCGGATCCCCACGGGACTTCTTTGCTATAATTTGTTCCTAAATGGATTGAAAAATAATTAATGACTCCGATTAACAACGATCTTTTCATGGACAACTAAATAAAGATTTTTTTAAAAAACTTCAACAATATAGCAAACAAGATTTTGGACATATTCTTATATAAATTATTACGCATGGAAAAGCACTTTTAAAAATGTCATTTCTATAAAGAATAAGTACTTACAGATTTTATAGTTTTAGTTTTGTTTTAGATGTACAATTCTGAATGTGTTGTTCTTTTCTTTACGAAACAAAACTAGATCCTAATTAATAATAATTATTCAATCGGGGTATAACAAAAAAAACTTTAAAACAAAGTTAATACGTTTTTGATCCAAAATTAGCGGCTAAATCTGGCAAAAAATGCATATCGATTTATATGTACATGCCGATCAATTCAAAATCTGAAATACCCTTCGGTAAAACATGCAAAGCCAATCTTAAAGTTAATCAACTTTTATGCGTGTATATACGTTTTCTGTCCAAACTCCACGATGTAAGTAAATGAAATGTATCAGTTTAATAACTTATTTTTAATAACTTATTGTCATTACCAATCAGCGATTTAGTTTCATCACAAATCTTGAATATTTCCTCATGCACACTCAATCCTTCAGTAGTCGTCACTTGTTTAATCTCTTCTTCACTACAACCGAGCAGCCGTGTAAGTAGCGTGGTTTTGCCCGCCCCAGCACATCCTACAATCATCCCCCGGGCGTGGTGGACTGTCTGTGTTCCTCTCTTAGCGTACTCCACATACCGCTCTCGGGCCTCCTGGTCCCATTGAAGAACCTCCCAAGGGACTCCATCTTAATCATTAAAATCAAACATATAAAAGAAAAAAAATTATTTTCGTTTAGTATCAAAAATAAGTTTTCAAATATTTGATTTTTCACGAAAAAGGGAAACCCAATAGCACTCCCGTATATAAGTAAACATTGGATTTCGTCAACTTCACCGTGATGTTTCAATCACTTTGAGTATTTACGCATTTTACTCCAATTAAAACAATGCATGCATCGAACGAAAATATTTGGATAAACGGTCATTGTCTGTAAGATCAATCGCCATGCCTGATTGCATTGTTTACCTCGAGGCGATAGATGATTGACATGCCGAGAACGAAACCTTGATGGTGCTAATGAAAAGAATTGGGTAACAACTACGTACCGTGGTATCAATAGTTTAATTGAATTATAATTTGGCAGAACTTTCTCGATAGATCCTACCATGTACAGTGCTAGTGTGTATATTAAATCCAACGACATTTCGGCATTACGTAATCGCGCGTTCTGATTTACATTTCCTTATGTGAAAGCTTTGAACACACAAATATATTTTGAAATCCTTTAGCGCACAATAAATTTTAGAGTTCAAGTGTTTTTGCACCAAAGGCGCAAATATTAGTAGTGCGCCAAATACTCCCGTTTAACAGTATACGAAAATATTGTCTTAACGCTGTTACTTCTTTTAAGTATTATGCTTCTACTACTACATCTACTTCTTTTTCTTCTGCTTCTTCAATAATTTCTTCTTCTACGATGGCCGGAAATTCATTGTTGCGTGACTAAGGGGTCCTATTTTAAGGCGGACATAAAAATATATTGGTCAGGTTAATTAAATGTGTGTTAAAGAATAAAGGAGAAGGCAACTGAAATCAATTTTAATTTTCATGATTTAAAAAGATTCTGTGGGGCAAGAAAGCTCAACCCCTGTTATACTCCAAAGCTTATACTTTAGCTTTTAGCTTACCTGAGTAATAATATCTTTTTATTTTAAAACCTCTTTAAAAAGTATGTTTCAAAGCTAGAATTATTCTCCCTGGCATTTTTTTATGGAAATATAAATTTGATTCTAATTATAAGTAGGGAAATTATTATTGCGATATTTATGCGATAAGCAACACTCATTGAATAAAAAAAAAATTTCGTATTGTAACGTAAATAGTAACCTTTAATCAAACCATATCTTGATTAATAAAATGCATAAGAATATCTGATTGTAGCTAAATCTTTTGAAAGTCTTACAAAAAATGTTTCACAGAGATAATACTCACAACGTTTACTGATACTGTCGTGAATCCCCTCGTCAGACATGGTACAGTGTGAGATGATGTCCAGCTGTAGTTTGTCTATAAAGAGGTCGTACATCTTCTCTGGATAGTCCGGTACATACAGACATCTTTCTCCCTTGCTTTTCTCATAGCACCAAGACCTACAATATTCCGATATCACGTCACGTGACGCCGTGGTTAGAAAAAACTCTAAATCACTTTCCTCCACTAAGCACTCCGTAACAAAGGCGTACATGACGTCATGTCGGTTATCGTCTGATAAAAACGTTATCACACCGTTATGTGTTTCTGTGATTCCTTCAGGAAGATCCACCAGCCCTTCATCAGTGACTTTAGTAAAATATCTATCTCTGATTTTGTCCCTTTTGTTTCTGTGGGATTGTTCGTTGACGTTGAGTTGATATTTCTCAATTAATAGTAAGCCGTACAATATGCATTTGATATCGGGAGAAAGTGCATGATATTTACCTAAAATTATGAAAATTTAAGATATTAGATTAAAAACATCTAAAGGTTTTAAAGTTACATGTATCTATATGCAAAATAAACTATTTAAAGTATTTCATTATTATAAAAAAATTATTTATTTTAAAACAGGAAATATCATTGAACATTCTCACACACACCAAACCCACTACCCCCTCCCCTCCCGAAAAAAAAACATCTTTGTAAAGTGAATAGAGGAAAGATAATTGCTACTCGATTAGAATTGCCTCCCTGCCTACAAAAAAACTTTTGTTATTTTATTTTTTTTTTTTGAGATCCGACATTATACATGCATAGACAAAAAAGTTGGAATATAAAGGAAATGAAAATGTAGATTCACATTATTTAAATCATATTTTCTGGGGTGGGGTAGGGCCAGAATAGGGGGTCACAGTTTTGAATATGAATATATATATCAAATACATTAAGAAATTTTCTTCTCAAGAAGAGCTTACTTATTTTCAGCCATATTAATACAGAATTATCTTCAGGTAGTGTAGATTCAAGTTTGTTGCAAACATTACCCCTTAGGGTAGTGCAGGGTCAGAACAATAGGTCAAAGTTTACCATTGGAATATATAAATAAATAATTTTAAAAATCTTTTCTCAAGAAGAACTTAACAATTATAAGTCATATTAAAATAGAAGTATCTTCAGGCAAATAATGTCTTGTAGGTCTGTCCATTTAGCCTGTTTAATTCTTTTTCTGAATAACTGCCACACTGAACTTCGGTATATCCAATTCATCGGAAGGACAAATCTCTATCTTGATTCAACTCATTGCTCCGCAACTCTACAACAGACTATCGAACCTTTGCACGAAGAGGTCGATTTATCTAATTGAATATGGTCATGCTACACATCTAACGTAAACAATAAAATAAACCTTTTGCATTTAATAGATTCCCTTACTTGGTTTTCTGAAAGCTTTGTTGTCGATGATGTAAATGTCCCAGTGTGGATATAGACCTATACAGGATCTCACGATGTCTGGTCTCCAGTATCCCCAGCGCCAAATCACGTGATCTGCACTGTCATGTGATCTTCTATGATCTACAACCTTTCCTTCTTTCCGTATATCATTTAGAAACTCTTTTCTTTTCTCTAAACTGTCCTTAAGCATTTGGATAGAAACATTCACTGTAAGGAAGAAAAATATTGAATGGACATCTAACCATCGATGAGGTCGATTTAAATGGCTATGAGTTGACAATTATTTGATTCTCAATACTGTTACATGTACATCTACAGTGTATCTACTTTTTATTGTATGATCCGCTGTGTACATGCCCCATGAAAAAAATAATGAAGTGATAAATATCAATGGAACCAAGTTCTGAAATATTTATTTATAACATATTTACATTTTCAATGTTTTTGTTCGAGATAAAGTTACAAATAGTAAAAATACTTTTTTTCTTAATAATGTACTTGTTCATCGATTGGCGTGGTTAAAAAATCGCATGCTGGACGGGACAAAAAGAGACAAGCGAGGCATGTAGCACGCGAATTTAGAGACTCCGTAGAATGTAAAAATAAAAACAACTGTCAGATTTCTTTTAGTTTCTTGAGGTATTAAGGCTGAAAGCGTTTTCACAAATTATCACACAAGCCAATAGATTCGTCACATCACGAAAACAACAAAATAATGACAGTTAATTATTTCTTAAAGCTGAACACTACTCGTAAATAGGCATAGTCCGCCATATTTCTCGTTCTTCAACGCTCTCCCTACAACTCGTATATAAGGAGCAGATCGCTAGTCAGTTCAATGTATTTTACTATAGAGATCCGACGAGTGCAGACGTACATTTTACAAAGCGTGCTACTCAATATCGATGAAATTATCAAATTTTACGTATATTTTCCAAAACAGGACAAAAGTATCATGGAAAATACAGGTTAATACATTATTTACAAACAGAAAATGCACATAAAAACGAGAAATAAACGCAAAAAATCTAAGACCACGATAGGAGTACTACACGTCGGCCACGAGTTTCGAGTGTGCAATCGGGTGTAACGAAAGCGAACGGTTTATATACCCATCTGACAGTGCCTATTTATGAGAAGTGTTCAGCTTTAAATTAACCTTCAGAATTAAGCCAATCACTTAAAACAATGTTTGAAGTCTGGAAATCCCTCTTTTTTGTTGACTGACTTACATGTCTTGTGTATCACATCATATACCCTCTTATCATCCATAGTGACATGGGTCATTATGTTCAACTGTAGACGGAGTATCAATATGTCATCACAAGCATCACTAATGACGCATTTCTCTCCAGGTTTTTTGGGGTACTTTTCTGACCTTAGGTACGCACTGGCTGTGTCATAGCTACTGTAAAAGAACGCTATATCAGGGCGTATTGATTCTGTCCTTGATACTATCTCATACATTATCTCATCTTTAGCGTCGTCCGTTATCTTGTCCTGATCTTTCCAAAGGAAAACATGTGACTTTAGTCTGTCAACAGTCAGCTGTGCTTCCCCACGTGTTAAAGTATTCTCTTTACTGTAAACTTCTCGTCGTGTCCCATTAAGTAAGCCTAGCCACTCTGTTTCAGCGAAGTCAGGAGGACCGGAGTCAGAACACGTCATCAGTCAGGATGGAGAACTCATCTACAAAATTTTAGTTATAATAAGTATTTCGTATTTAAGTTTTAAGGTCCTGAGTTATTTTTTTCCGATTTTTTTTCTCATAAATCGTTTCGTAGTCTTTCTATCTAAAGGCTGTCTTGGAAATTTATATTGCAATAATAATTTTTATCTGATGACGTATGAGAAAGTTATACGTACTATTATTGTACAGGACAAATTAGTGAGGAAGTAAATATATGGAGACTCTAGTAACAAACAGTTTTCAAGCTCAAAAGTCCAATAAACAATAAAAAGTTGGAGCAGAGCAACTGTGGCTGTCACAAGTGACATTGTGTCAATGTTTTATATTAGCTTATTGTACAGGTATTGGTAAGAGTTATCTTTTTTTAGGCATTAGGAGTTATCAATTATTTCATTTACGCACTATTGATCACTGGGTTGTATTTGTTCTATTTTTATCAACGTATACTCGTCGAACCCGTTTGAGTAGTTTGGTCAGTTATTTATACTGGGTGTTGGCTAGTGTTCTTCAGATGAGGTCTGGACGCCGTGAGTTATACTTTACCCATGCTTAGTGATCTTGGGTGTGCCTTTTATATTACCCATGCTGTGTGAACTTGGGTGTGTTTAAACTGTTTCCCCTGCTGCGTGATCTTGGGATTCAGGGATGTTTGTAGCGGCGTTGAGAGCAAGACATGGGGGCCGACAGTATGATTTTTATGTGTAAAATGCCACAGTTCAGTAAGTTTTTATACTTTACAATATTTTTGTTGTTAGCTTTAAAGAGCAATATTTTATGAAAGCTGTTAGCGATATAGCGAGAATGTATATATTTACGCTCTAATTCATTTACTCGTTAAACGGTAAAAATACATGTTTTTTTTTTGTTATTTGTTAGTAAAATGTAGTATATTGAACAGAGATGTGTTTTGAATATTTTATTAGAAAACCCTATGAAATTGTAGGTGACCAAAATTGTATATAAGCTTTAATGGGACGGGAGGATTTGTTTATGTGGTAAGGCTACTTAGGATATGGTGGACCGGACGGGACACTATGGTGGACAAAATGGTGGACCGTGGATGACGTTGATACGTGGTGTGAAACTCGCGTGACAACTATGATTGAACTTTCAGCCGTGTTTTGTTCATTGTACATACGAGGGTTGTCCGTAAAGTTCGTGGACAACATTGATAATTACTGACTCGTATGTAGATAAATTTATTGTTAATTTTTATAAATTTTGTTGTTTCTTGGTATTCAGGAAGTCTCCCAAAATATTATATATTTTGGATTGTAAATTTGATTCAGCGAATCCATCACAACTTGAGGTCAGTTACGACATTTTTGGTGGCAGCGGTGGGATAGACTTCCTGTTACCAAGTATACCTGCATTATTTTCAAGTTTTGTAGAAAAGGCTTTAGTTGAGAAAGATTTCTATGGTTTGAATTGTTTTTTTCCGCAGGCTTTGTACAAATTATTTTTTTCTTATATGCATTTTGTCATTTTGTTATATTCACATTTGTTGTTGCGTTGCGTATTGTAACCATGGAGTATGTACAATTAGGAGAAAAGTTAGGCTTGCAAGGAACTGAGTTACAAGAGTTTGTTGACAGAAAAGAGAGAGAATATTTTGAAAGGATGGAAAGGGCTGCAGAGAGAGAAGCGGGAAAGATTGTGAGTGAAATTGAATTAGAAAAACTTAAGAAAGAAACTGAATTACAAAAATTAAAAGCTGGAGAATTAGCTGTAGGTCCATTGGGTCTTGCTTCTCAATTGCTTGCTAAGTTGCCAAAGTTACCTCCATTTAATGAGTCTCAAGATTGCATTGATTCATATTTACAGAGATTCGAGAGGTTTGCTTCGTGTGCTAAGTGGGAACAGTCTTCACGGGCGATTAATCTTAGTGCTCTCCTGAAAGGTAAATCTCTTGAGGTTTATTCTAGACTTCCAGTTTCAGAGGCTTTGAACTACGGTTTCTTGAAGCAATCGTTGTTAAGGCGTTTTCAGTTGACGGAAGAAGGGTTTCGTGTCAGGTTCCATTGCAGCAGACCAGAACAGGGTGAGAATCCTTCACAATTCTTTGCTAGGCTGAACAATTATGTAGCAAAATGGTTGTCTTTAGCAGATAGTCCTAAAACGTATGACGGTCTTAAAGATCTGTGTTTAAGAGAACAGTTTTTAAACAGTTGTAGTAAGCAGTTGGGAATGTATCTTAAGGAAAGACATCCGAAAAGTGTAGAAGAAATGTCAAATCTCGCAGACTAATTTATTAAAGCTCATGGTTATACTTCATTCACTAAAGACTTTCAAGTTTTTCAGAAGCAACCATCAAGCACTTCTAGCATTCAGAGTAACAGCAGTGGGTCCATTCAAAAGCAACAGATGTACCAAGGATCACTACAGTACAAAGGTGAAAGAAAATGTTACATCTGTGGGAAAAGTGGACATTTGGCAAGAAACTGTACCTCCAAGCAGAAAATTCCTCGTGCAGTATCTACTTCGCACAATACCCAAAAGGCAGCGATATTACAGAGTCAACTTACAGAATTCTGCTGAAATCAGGATGGACAACTCCATATCGAATCAAAATCAGCCACACATAGGATCAGCATGCATTCCCCAACATAAACTGTTGCAGTGTTGTGTCACAGGTGGACTTGTTAAACTTGCACGTGGACACTTGCACGTGGACACGTATTACCTGTTATTGGAGGCGTCTGTAAGGTTTGTGAAAAGATTCCCGTTGCTATGGGTTATGTTGGTGAGAACTTGTTAAGGTATTAAGAGACTCAGGTTGTAGCGGTGTTGTCGTTAAGAGAGATTTGGTTACAGATGATCAGCTGACTGGACAAGTGCAGAAATGTGTTCTGATAGATGGCACAGTTTGTACAGTAGAAGAGGTTTCCATTTATGTCGACACTCCCTATTTCACAGGTAATATCAATGCTCTTACATGAAAGAACCTGTTAACGATCTTCTCATGGGTAACATCGATTGTGCCAGAAATCAGACGGATCCTGATCCACAGTGGTGTAGAAAGGACGTAAGAGAAGAGTGTAGCCAAGTTCTTCAAGCAGTACAGACAAGAAATCAAAAGAAAAAAGAAGACAAAGGTATGAAAAAGCTAAAAGTTACAGATTTAGTGGATACTGATATGACAATTGATATGACAATTGATCAGATGAAGCAACTTCAGATGGACGATTCTTCCTTGAAAGTGTATCGTGAGCATGCAGTGACAGGCAGAAATAAGAACATTGGTGAAAATATAGAGGCATGGTTTAGTGTTGAAAGAGGACTGTTGTACTGACATTATAATTCAAAAAATGTTAGTGATAAAAAACTGTATAAACAGCTTGTTGTTCCAGAACCTTTGCGACAGAAAGTTATGAAGATTGCGCAGTATCCTAGGCGGACATCTTGGTACAAAGAAACTCTAGACCGCATCATGTTGAATTTCTATTGGCCTGGAATCCAGGGTGACGTGACGAGATATTGCCAGTCATGTGACATATGCCAAAGAACATTTCCTAAAGGCAAAGTGACGAAGGTTCCGTTGGAGAAAATGCCACTTATTTATACACAATTTGAACGGGTAGCCGTAGATTTGGTAGGTCCGCTCTCTCCAATTACTGACAAAGGCAATAGATATATCTTGACTGTTGCAGATTACAGTACTAGGTATCCATGCATTGAAGAATATCGATACAGAGACGGTAGTAGAAGCATTGGAAGAAATATTCAGCAGAGTTGGCATTTCAAAAGAAGTTATGTCGGACATTGGTACGCAATTTACCTCCAACATCATGGAAGAAGTGGGTCGACTTTTATCATTTAAGCAATTAGTAACAACTCCATACCATCCAACATTTAATGGACTAGTAGAAAAGTTCAATGGTACTTTGAAGTCAATGTTAAGGAAAATGAGTTCTGAACGATCAGAAGACTGGGTTGATATTTACCAGCATTGTTATTTGCTTATCGAGAGGTTCCACAAGAAAGCACTAAATTTTCTCTATTTGATCTAGTTTATGCACGTCATGTTAGGCGACCTATGGCAGTTTTGAAGGGACTGTCGACAAAGGAGGAGAAGGACCCGGAAGTGAAAACTACTTACCAGTATGTGCTTGACCTGAAGGAGCAATTGGCAAGAACGTGTGAGCTGGCTCAGAGAGAACTTCAGAATTCCAAAGAAAATCACAAGAAACATTATGATAAAAGGACAAAGCCGAGATCTTTCATGGTTGTTGATTTTGTTCTTCTTTTGCTTCCAACAGACCATAACAAAATTTGAATGCAGTGGAAAGGACCTTTCAAAGTAGTTGATAGAAAAGGACAAACTGATTACCAGATAGATATGAATGGACATATTCGTTTGTTTCATGCAAACTTATTGAAGAAATACAATGTTCGAAAGGAAAGGAATACAGACTCGCCAACAACTTTAGCATCTTGTGTCGTTTTGGAATCGGAAGAAACAGAGGACTCAAGTAATCAACATTTGTTACATCTTCTTCCAATGAAGTCAACAGAATCATTCACAAATGTTAAGGTGAATCATTCACTGTCATCAGATCAGCTTGAAAACATAAATGATGTTTTACATGAATTTCAGGAAGTTTTAACAGATCTACCTGGTAGAACGAATGTTATCCAGCATGAAGTTCATCTCACTACCAAAGAACCAATCAGAAACAGACCATATCAGATACCGTATGCAGTCAGAAGTGCAGTCCGAGAAGAAATACAGCATATGATTGACATGGATATCATCGAACCATCAGAATCACCGTATGCTTGTTCGATTGTCGTGGCAAAGAAGTCCAATTGTAGCCAGAGAATATGTGTGGATTTTCGTAACTTGAACAAGGTAACGATTTTTGATCCAGAACCAATGCCAGATCCAGATGAAATCATGACCAAAATTAGTAACAGTCGTTTCTTTTCTAAAATTGATTTATGTACGGGATATTGGCAGATTCCAA